AAAACTAGCCCATAAATTTTGATGAGGAATGGGATATTTACATAGTTCCAAAAAGCTCTTCAAAAATATTTATTGACTAAAAGGGAAAAGAGAGTAACTTTATAGTGGAGAAACCTGGCAGATATCATCTTAATCAAGTGATCAAAGTTAACATCCCCCATAATGGGACGAATCAAAATCATACACCACCTCATGGGATGCAATGAGATCCCAGCTTCACTTCTGTGGTATTTCTGCCCTCCCACACAAAAAAAGTATGTCTTGAATCTAATGATGAGGAAACAACAGAAAAACCCCAATTAAGAACATTCTACAAAATAATTGGACTGTTATTTTCAAAAGCATCAATCCAGGAAAGCCAACACAAGATTGAGGTGCTGTTCCAGATAAGACTTGACTAGAGAGACACGATAACTAAATGCAATAGGATCCTTTTACTATAAAAGACATTACAGAGATAATCAATGGAGTTTGAATGGTGACTGTGGATTACACAGTAGTAATGTATCAGCATTCATTTCTTGATTTTTGATGGCTGTATTGTTAAGTAGGAGAATATCCTTATTTGTAGGAAATAACACACTAGGGTATTTAGGGTTAAGGGGGCCTCTGGTCAGTAACTTACTGTCAAATGGTTCAGAAAAAAAGCTTGTATTATTTCTGTAATTTTTCTTTAAGTTTGAAACTATTTCAAAATTAAAATAAAATGAACCTCTCCTGGTTGTCAAGGCCCTTCATTAGCTCATCTTACCAGCCTCATCTTCAAGGGCATCTCCACACCCCCACTCCTCCAGCCATGTTGGACTGCTCCCCTCCTACAAGCACAGCATGCCCATTTCTGGGTCTACGGCTTTCCCACGTCATGCTCTATTCCTACAAGGCGTATAGCTCCTTTTTTGCCTGTCAAAACGCTTGAGTGTAAGAAACATCATAACTCTTAAGTGCTCGAGTGTAAGCATATCAGAAACATCATAAAACTTAAATTTTTAAATTAAAATAAACCTGGCTCCAAACTTTCACTGTTTAATTTGGCATAAAAATTCCATCTCAGTCTCAAGTATATGGGAAGCAGGGGGCTTACTCGGTACCCAGAAGATGGAAACTTTCTCTAGTCTTCAGTCCATCACAGTGGCTGCGGGGATGCTCAATATCACAGTGCAGATTTCGTTTGAAGGCGGAAAGCTCCATCCTTTCCGTGACACCTGTTGGTGTAGGGAGCTCATGCTACTTCTCCTCACGTTGTAGTGGTATGTGCCATAGGGACCTAAGCCTCAAGCACGTGCATAAAACCCTTAACCACCCTCTCCTCACCCATTTCCTTAGTCTCCCGAAGCTTCTCCCCTAAATTTAAGCCGTTTCCTTTTCCTTTCCCTAAGAAGATCCAGGTAGGAATGTCTTTGATGTATCTGGGAACTTCCATTTTCAGTCCAGAAACATGAAAATCATTGATAACCATCACCGGCAAGGCAACCACACTCATTATGTGAAGGTTTAGCTACCTTAGAATGCCGGGAAGAAAAATGCCCTTTGTGCTTTCAAGCCTCCCATTGCTTTGAGGATAAAACACTCATACCTCAGCCACTTATACCACCATTCTGCTCTTACTCTAAGATGGGTTAATCAAGTTATTAAACGTTTTAAAATTGGTGAAGAGCCAGATAGTGAATATCTTAGGCTTTGCAGGCTATGTGGTCTCTGTCGCAACTACTCAACTGCACCACTGCAGTGTGAAACAGCCACAGACGACATGCAAACACGTGAGCGTGGCTGCGTTCCAGTGCAACTGTGCCTACGGACACTGAAATACGAGTGGAATAGGATGCTCACGTGGCACAGCATATTGCTCTTATTTTGATTTTTTTTTCTCCATTTTAAAATGTAAAACCACTCTTAGCTCATGGGCCGTACAAAAATAAGCTAAAGGCCACATCTGGCCTTCGAGCTGTGGTTTGTCTGTAGATTTCTGCTCTAAGAGAAGCAGATGAGAACTTGAACATGAATGTTTCCAGCGTTCAGAATTATTTCCTTCCACAAATAGCACATTTTTGTGCATTTAGCATAGTCCTTACTACTTTCTGTCACGAATACTCATTTTGAGGGCATACATCTGTCTCTCCCAGGTGACTGTGCCCTCTTTAAGAGGAAGAAATGGTCATGTACTTCCTTAGACCTCCCTCAGAGCCTAGGAATTCAGACTATTTTGATTGAGTGAAACTGAGTGGTGGGGAGAACAAGGTTGAACAGACGAAACAAGTTTATTATGAAGTACCATCTACACAAGGCGGGCTTTGTTCTGGTAGAGGGCTACGAGTTTTATAGATGGTTTGTAATTATTTATGCTTGCTCTCATTTTCTTCTTCTCTCTAATTACCTTTGTTTACTTTTTGAATTGCTTCCAGGACAGTACTTTGAGAACCAGATCTGTATAAAGAACTCTGCATTGCTGAGACTCTGCAGGAAAACTAAGGTTTCCGAAAAATGTTTTCTCCATTTCTGATTTTATTCATCTTTAAGACTGTTAGAAAAACTGGAAATATGATATTTGCATGTATTTTTAAAGATCAGAAAACTTGAAGATTTTTTTTCTTTCTCTCTATATACAATTCTTTCTATACGTATGGTTCATTTGGTTCACAGGTAAATGGCTTTTAGAAAATTAACATGCTTCTTTCTTTTGTCTTAGTAATACCTTATGCTTTCATATTTTGTATTTTATTAACTCTGCACAACAATCCTGTGAAGTAGGTTGGACAGGAGTAGGGTTAAGACTCTTTCAGCTATGAGTGATTTAAAAGAAAAAAGATAGTTTAAGCCAAAAAAAAAAAAGAAAAGAAAACCCAATCTTTTAGCCCAGGTAACTGAGAAGTCCAGGGATGCCTCTTTCTTCCATCTATGGCTGAATCCAAGGACTCAAATGATGTCGTCAGGATCCTGTGTTCTACTGTTTAGTTCTGTTTCCTTTTGTGTCCTGTTGCTCTCATTCTCTCCCACAGCAGACAGGCTTCCTGCAAGTTGCTGGAGGGGATGTCTTGATTTCACATCATCCCATCACAAAGACACTAAATGCAAAAGACAGTGTCCTCCACTAGCTCTGATTGGAAAATCTCTAGAGGAGGACGGTAATTATCAGCCCAAGCACGACCACTTAATGGGAGAAGAGTGGTTCCCGAGAAAGAGAGGCTGAGCAAATAAAGAATGTTCTCTAAAGTGGGTATATTCTCTGAATGGCCATCTACCTATGGGAAAGGGAGAGGGCAGCACAAAGAAAGGAAGTAATTTTTCCACAGTCACACTGTTGGTTGGTAGAGAGGTAAAACAGAAATCCTTGCCTCCTCACTCAGACCTCACATGACGTCTCTGCTCTTGCCTGTATAAACATGCCATTTCTTTGGTGTATGTATCTCTATCTCACCATTTCAAAACAAAAACTAGGCCCATAGATTTCATCAACACTGTAACGTCATTCCATTGCAGCTATTTCTTTGACGTCGGCATCTATACCAGTAACTTTACGTTTGAGGAACCATAATTATATCTGCCTTATTTGCCTCAGGATTCGTGGATAACCGGCCCTGTGAAGGAACCTAATGGTTTTCTGTAGCTTTGATTTCGTTTTAGGTTTGTCCCCACACATTATGGGTATTTTAAACCAGCATTTCAAAGTGTCTTTTAAAAGTCACTCTTTAGAAAGAATACAAAATTTGAGTAAAAATACATAAGTAATTATTCCTCTTTCCCTAATATATTCCCTAATTTTTTCTGATGGACATAAGCATAATAAAACGATTTACTGTGAAAGCAGCTCATCTTTCTAGAAGCAGGCCGGGGGCTGATTTGGCGGAAGGAGCACTTCACCGAGGGCCAGCCCACGCGGATTCCAGTTCGGCTTTGTCAATCACTGGTTGTGTGCATACCCGCGAATGGCTCCAACTCTGAGGTTTAGTAGCATCCTCACTTGCAAAAGGGGAGTGGTATTATGACCTTATTTCGATACTTAGAGCACAATGTAGGCTAAACTCTTGTAACTTAGAAAATGATATACAAATGTGAGCACTTCTACTTTTGTTTAACACGTGGCTCAACAAAATAAGTAGAAAAACATGTGAAAACTGTTACTTAATAGAGAAATCCTCTTCGACGAACTGAGTCAGCTTTCTAGAAAACTCAACCCATATCGTCTTATTGGGGAATAGACACACAGACACACAAGCGGAAGGCAAAAGTGTTTCTTCTAAGTTTTTCTAAGTTCCCTAATGCTTGTCTTGCAACATTTTTTTATTTTTTATTTTATTTTCTGGTGCCTGTGCCGTGCTGTCAGAAATTCTCTTTTTGAAGCCAGGCAACTGCAGAGAGAAAAGCATGTCAACTTCTCGCTCGTTGCAGATGCTCCCTTCGGAGACCACAGCTCCGGATCCGTTCCAGCCACAGACCTTTGTCCCGCCGCCCGAGCCCGGACGCCGCCGGGTGCGCAGCGCCCCCTGCCGGGAGCGAGCGGCGGAGGCCGGGAGCGAGCGGCGGAGGCCGGGCGCTCGTGCTACGACCTCCGAGACACTTCGGGTTCGGCACCCACACCCACCCGGGATGCCGGGACGCGCTGCCGCTCGAAAGCCGCTGGCTGGCCGGAGCCCTGCAGACGCCCGCAGCCCCTGGGAAAGTGAAAAATGCCAATGAGGCGGGACTTCCCGCGGTGGGTGGGGCTTCGCTCTGTGGGCGGGGCCTCGCCGTGTTTAGGGGGCGCGGCTCTGCTGCTGTGGGCTGGCTCTGTGGGCGGGGCTACGTTCGGGGGCGGGGCTTATCACCACCTAGGGTCCGAGCTTAATGAATGCCGCCCCGCTCTGTGGGCGGAGCTTATCTCATCTAGGGCCCGAGCTGAATGGATGCGACTCCGCGCGGTGGGCGGGGCTCATCTCAGTGGGCGGGGCTTAGCTCCACGTAAGGCCCGGGCTGAATGGATGCGACTCCGCTCGGTGGGCGGGGCCTCGCCCTGTGGGCGGGACTACGGCCCGCGAGAGGACTCGGGACTGGCTGCGCGCTTCCGGAACTTCCCGGCCCTGCGCGTGCGGACGGCGTCGCCTGGAGCCCGAGCGGCGCGCGAGGGGTCGCGGTCAGGTGAGCGGTTCGTAAGGTGTTCCCGCAGGCCGGCGGGGAGCGTGCGGGGCGCGGCGGGCCTGG